CCACGCTCCCTCCACCATGACAAAAGTTGTTCCTTGCCTTCTTCGTCTTTAATATTTTCCAATCCTTGATTAAGATAAGAATCAAGTTCATCATCAATAGAGGAATCAAAACCTGTTATATCATCCATATCTTCCCATAAAACTTCTTCTCCAGACATGAACATCATAAAATGTGGGGGGTTGGGAAAATGAAGTTTCATCAACATGAGTCATTTCATCAATATTCGTTCGAACTCTAGGGGGTATAGGAGAAGGGTTAGGATTAGGATTACTACTACTTTCACCTTTACTACTTTTTTTATTACTTTTTTTAAACATACCAAATACATTTTTAGGTGCCATTTTTTAAATACGAAACTAAATTTAAAAAGCTAACACAAATATTACACACAAAAATGAAATACGAAAATATAACACGTAAAGTAAACACAAAAATTAAGCACTAAAATGATACACAAAAATTATATATTAAAATTAGGAGATGGAACGAGTGCACCGTGATTAAGTATTGAAACTTGAAGAAATTGCCCGAAATATTTCTCCAAATACTTGACGAATTAATTTGAAGCTTGAAAGTTGCTCCAAAAAATTTGCCCAAATACTTGAAAGTTGAAAGATATCACTTGATAGTAACAATATTGAGAGAATAATATAGAATATTAGAATGTAAGAGATTTGAGAGAGAAGATTGATTTTTTGTGGGAAAAAATGAAGAAGAATGGGGGGTATTTATAGTAGAAAATAGGGCCAAAGTGACAAATATTAAAGTTAGGGGTTATATTAAAAGTTTGGGAGGGAGAGGGGGGGTGTTTTGGGGGGTGTGGGGGCCTTTTGGACCGTTGGCAACGGCCATTTTAGCAATTTAAGCCGTTGGCCAACGGCTAGTTTTTAAATAAAAAAAAAAACAGGCGGGACGGGACGGGACGGGACGCGGGACGGGACGGGACGTGGGACGGGACGGGACGGGACGCGGGACGGGACGGGACGCGGGACGGGACGGGACGAAACGAGACGAAACGGGACGAGACAAACGGGACGAAACGGGCATCCCGTCCCGTCCCGTGTCCCGCGTAACATTGGCCCATCCCGTTGAATTTTTAGCGGGACGGGACGGGACCGGAACGGGTCGAGGGACGGGACGGGCCGGCCCGTCCCGTTGGACAGCCATAGTCTCTAATAATAAAGGAGAAGTCCTAACTAATTAATATTGTTTAGGAACTATTATATTTGGGGTCTATGAGTTCATGCAAATTTAACCTTCCACCAGCTTGGGCCTTGAACACATCCCGTCAAAAAGAATTAAAATCCAAGTATGCATAAGGTTGGCCAGTCACAGGCCTGGGCTTAGGTCCAGACGGCTACATATTCAAGACAAGACCTGGGCCGTCTGTGATAACACTGGCCCAAACTGTCCGAAAACGGATCGTCAAACCCTGACTGTTAAACCACACTAAGCCTCAATTCCATTTGAACAAACATCTCTGAGATCGCTTTAGGTTATTCAAAACGTATTCAACAATTTGTAGTCAAGGAAAAGCAAGATTCTCCTTTCAATTTAATGAAACATTGATCACTAGAAGTCCAGTTTAAGACTCAGATTGTTTTACTTAATTAGCTACTGGTGAATTCATGGGTATTACTAAAGGTGTGATAATCACATTCACACTATGAAAACGCTACTAATTATGTGTTCTACTACATCACACAGATCTGAGGCGATTCACAAATCATCTATCAACCTCGCATGAGACTAATTGTCACCAACGTTCAACTTGAAGCGACCACATGAATCTGGTACATAACAGTTTATACAGTCTATTTAGTACAGAACAAGCAAAACTTAAACAGCGTTGATGAATTAAATGCTGAATATACAGGTCTGGACATAAACTAAATCAGAATTCAATTTTTTAAATAACTTCATTCTTCATAAACTCATTTCTGCACATTTTCAGCTCATAGTCATCGAATATACAGATGTGTACCTGGAGAACAGAATGTAGTGAGAAGGAGAAGAAGTTAGCAACAGCAAAGCATGCAACAATGTGTGGAGTTCAAACAGCAACAATCACACTCAGCTTTAACCCAGAAATGAGTCAGGAGTCCAGAAATGCTTTAAAACCAACAGGATCAACAGATCAAGCCAAAACAAATTCGACTAAGCCCAAATGACCTCCAAAATGAACCCAGCAACACACTACAGCAACAAAGCACCCAAACTGATCCCAAATCAACCACTAAAATCGAAATTAACCTAGGTAACTGAATGGAACAATACTTTTTTGAATTTTTTGTAGCTTCTGTATATTTTTTTTTGTGATTTTAGGATGGGAGAGAGACTTCAAAATTTCAGATCTGGAGTTTTAATCTGAAATTCAAATTTGGATTCTGGAGACTATGGACTAGTTTTTGGGGGGATGAATTGTGAGGTTCAAAACTTCTAGAAACTTTTAGGGATTTTTAGATGTCCAAACTTGTGAATGAAGGCAGAGTGCATGCCTTTTATAGGCAAACCTGAGGGTTCTCTCAGATTTTGAACTTTACACCCCTAGTCCCTCTTTTATTTTTCAGTTTTAACCAAATAATCCTTTATTTTCTGACTTCTTTCTCAAGTTACTGCATTAGGTTTCTTGAAATTCTAATTTTAACCCCATCTAGAAGACTCTAGGTGTTTCTAACTAACAGATTCTTTAGGTAAAACACCTAAACTACCCTTAATTTGGATTCTAAACTACTACCATAGCCAAACCAAATCCCAGCCCCCTTTAAACTTGGTCAAATGACCATGGTTAAACAACCAAGAGGATGGGAACCTTCAGCTATAACCAAACAACTGAATCAATAAAGTCTAACTAATTGCAACCAAAGAATAACTAATCAAAACAAAAATTAATAACTAAAATCAAATACTAACTAACAGGATTGACCAAAGAAATTAAAGCCTATGCTAACACTAAATTGAAACGCACATTCAAACAGAAATTAAACTAATATCAAAATTACTAAAACATGATTAATCATAACAGACTAGCTAAATACTGACTCAACAAAATCAGAATTAAAAAAAAATAGAAAATTACTAAGAAAACTTACTAATTTGGCTAAACAAATACTAAAACAGGATTACAACAAGAAAAGAAAAATACCTCAACTGTGATTCCGGCCAGGCCCTTGCAAAATCCAGACTGAAACTTGTCCTTAATCGTGTGTTTCCATGAGAAACACAAGATTAAGGACTATTACAGTCCAAAATCAAACGAAATCCGGAGTTTGAGAAATTAGGGTTTTGAGGTCAATCTTCGATCTAAAATTCGAGGAGATCGGGTAATGTTTGAGGGTTATAGGTTATAGATTCATGAAGAAGGAGATGAGGAGGATATATGGTGTAAGTTTGGGCTGGTTTGGACGAATTAGGGTTTTTTGCCGGAATTTCGATCTAAGATTTGAGAAAATCGGCTAGGATTTGAGGGATGGGACTTGGGGATTTGGAAAGAGGAGGGGACGGGGAGCTTATGGTGAAATTTTGGGGTCATTTGGAGCTTCGCCGCCGGCGGCGGACGGTGGAAGGTGGCGGAGATAGGCGGCGTTACGCCGGAATTAACAGGGGTATGAAAGACGATGGTTTGGGGGTAGGGGGCCTTCCGACATTTATATACTTGAAACCTAGTTAGTTCCGGACCGTTGGATTGATGAGATCCAACGGTCATGATTAAACACAGGAAAAACGACGTCGTTTCAATTAAAAGGGGCTGGACCGGATCACTGTGAGATTGGGCCTGGGCATGGGGTGATTTTGGTCCGATTTGGAGTCTTTATGTGCATGGCCCAAAATCAAAAACCTTTTAATTCTTTTTATCATTGTTTTCTTTTCTTTATTTTATTTTCATTTTGTATTTTTATATATTTTTTTTCTGATTTTATTAAATGCAAGATTAAAATAAAAGACCCAATTGACTCTACAATTATACTAATTAATTTCCAAAGAAAACTTAAGACAAATTTTAAAAATTAAAAGTAGAAATGCAAGGAACATTTTGGTATTTTATTTATTTTTGTAATATTAAAATGCACACTATTTTTGTATATCTTTTTTTTTTGGAATTATGTCAATCAAAAATGCACACAAAAATGCAAACAAGACACAAAATCATGCAATTAATTCCTAAAAATTCAAATAATAAAGGAAAATCCTAATTCTAAGGAACTTTATAGGAGAAATTTAAGCGTGGCAAAAATCACGTGCTCACAGCCCCCCCTTACACAATGGTTTTACCCCCTTTATATATACTTAAGGAATCCTTAATCTGTACTTGATTTGACGTTCACCATCTGCCTTGGTTGTCCCCGAGAGGTTGCTTCTTCCGACTACGACGGGCATCGTGAGCACAAGATATGGAATAACCATGTTGTCCTTTGCTATCTCGCCGCTTGGACGGGACGTCAATCAACTTGACNGGAAGGCCTTTTCCACACAAGCTTGTACATGCCACTATCCAGTTTACCAAGATCCAGAGGCTTCTTCAGAGAAGGGCCCTGTGGTATAAGTAAACAAGATTCATAAGCGAATAGAACAAAACATTTGAACTGTTGTATAATCCTATGTACAAAGATCAGATTCTGTTGGAAAGAGGGAATATAGAGAATATTGTGAAAAATGAAAGAAGGACTCAAAATAAAAGAACCAGTGCAAGTCACTTTTACTTTATAGCCATTAGGAAGTGATACAAGATAAGGCACAGGTAAAGGAGTAAGGTTTGATAGAAAATCTTTATTAGATGTCATATGGTCGGTAGCACCAGAGTCAACTATCCAGGTTAAATCTATTGATTGTGAAAGCATGCAAGAACTAGAACTAGAACCATTCAGCAGATCATCAGTTAGTAGAGTACCAGCAAAGTTGGCAGAAGCCATCAGATTAGACTGAGGATTAGAATCTGATAAGTGGGACTGTTGCAGTAAAGTCATCAACTGATTGTACTGCTGCATACTCAGACCAGGAATCACGGAACGTGCTCAGGAGAACTAGAGACACCAGAATGATAAGAACCAGCAATGTTATAATATCCACCATCAGAAGACTCAGGTTCAGTAGTAACATTTGTTGCATTTGCTGCAGTTCTTCTACTCTTAGTGAATTTGAAATTAGAGGGAAAACCATGAAGTTTATAACATTTGTCAATCAAATGTCCAGGTTTTTTGCAGTATCTGCAGAATAAAGAACCCCTGGTCTGATCAACATGCATCTTCTGGTCAAAAGCTACCCTTTGGTTGTATTGTTGTTTTGGTGGTGGAAGAAGAGGCTTAGGAAAGTGACTAGCATTTGCATTGAAGGAGGCTGACTCTGAATTGAATTGAGGAGTAGAATTCACATGTCTTTGACTCTCATCTTGGAGTAAGATATTGTAAACAGTATCAAGTGAAGGTAGTGGTTGCATCATAAGAAGATTACCCCTAATACCAACATAAGTTTCATTGAGCCCCATTAAAAATTGGTATACCTTGTCTTCCTCTAACTCCTGTTGTAAACTAGATTTAGCAGCACAATTACACGAACTCACACGATTCTTTCGGATGAAAGCCAACTCATCCCACAACTTCTTTAATTTGTTAAAGTATGATGCTATATCAAGAGACCCTTGACAATTAGAGGCTAACTCTTTTTTAATCTCAAAAACTTTGGTTCCATTTACAGTTCCATATCGTTTTTCAAGTTGGTTCAAATGCTTTAGGCTGTTTCAGAATATTGAACACTCTCGGCAATTTCAGGTGATAGGGAGCTGGTTAACCAAGATATTACCATATTATTACATCTATTCCAAAGTCGTAATTCAGGAGCATCATCAGCAGGCTTAGAACATGTTCCATCTATAAAAGCTATCTTATTTTTTGCTGACAATGCCACTATCATATTTCTCTTCCAACCCCCAAACCCGATTCCAGAAAATGGAACTTGCACCAAACAAGTACTCGGAACATCAGAGGGATGTATGAATAAAGGACCAGAAGGATCTGGAACATATGTAGAGCTAGCAGGGGTAGAACTAGTTACTGTCATGTTTGACTCAATTGAGAACAAAATTGTACATGCAACGAGGCAATTGAGGGTTAAAATCACTGAAACCAACAGAGAAAGACTCACACCAACACTATATGAAAAGGATAGGGTAAGAGGTACAACACTTCTTCGCAACCGGAAGAAGACGGCCTTCAAGGTTAAAACAAAGTTCAGCTGACCTCCTGGAGCTCAAAAACACAAGAAAAATCCACTCGAAGAGTTCAATTTTCGACCAAAACCAAATTCTCGTTCGTAATTGCTCAGAACAAACTAAAATCCCCGCAAAATATGAGAATAAACCATCGAAGAGCAGAGAATCATCGGAAACCACTGTAAAATAGAGAGGCGACACGGAACAGACGAAATCGAAGATGAAGAAAATTTGGACAAAACTTTGTGAGGGTAATATCGGATGAAAGCGGAGGACCAGATCTATAAGAATCTGCGCTCTGATACCATGATAACTTTGAGTATAAGCCAAATCGCCATGAAAATATAACTAGGGTTCATGAGAACAAAATTGAGAGAGAAAGAGAGCTTTAGATGTTTCTTTGTATTCAAAATGGCAAAACCATTCAAATGTGTACAAAACTATACTATATATACATTGGGCCAAATGTCTTAAACTCGAAAATTAAAACCCAAAACTTAACAAAATAAAAGCCTATACAATTAACTTATACACAAGTGGGCCTATTTCTATTTCTGCCGAGGCCCAGATGCCAAATAACCTTCAAGTCCAACAACAGTTGCTCAACCTTACAAATCAGTCCAGCTTCATGCTACAAAAGCTGCTAAGAATGCTAATGTGGTCTTGTCCATTATTTCCAATTTGAAGCTATTGGCATCAGGTGCTAGAAAAGCTATCCTTGGCATATGTGGAACTGCTGATGTAATTAAGATAAGTGAAGAGGAGAATTACTTTTTGGCACAAGGAGAAGATTCACATTATAATGTTGTTGTTCCTAAGTTGTGCCGTCCAAATCTAAGGTTGTCATAAAAGGCCGTGTAGTTTGTTTCCATTATACCAAAGAATTCTGTGGACGAGTTAAGATTTTAAAGCTGGATTCTGTGGGCATCTTCAGTGTTGGAGATGCTTTTGTATCTAGAAGATTGTTATAACTAGCATATGATATCTCTCTGCACTAGGATGACAACAATCTAAGAGAGGCCCTCAAGTTTAACTTTTCATTTGATGTGCTCAAGAAATTTCATCATGTACTTTGTCTATTCAAGTGTCGTTTCATAACTAGATTTCCATCGAATGCACCAGTTAGGATTCTGGAAGACTTTAGCAGCATTGAGGAGGCAAATCAACTTATTATTGGCACATTTCATGTTACGCACGAATCAAGTGAAAAGAGAGTTCACAATGCTAATGTCACTTGGGATTCCTTGTTGAATGTTATCATTGTCTTGCGGATATTTCTATATTTCCTCCGTTGCATTGACCAGGAAGACAATGATGACATCTCTCTTGTTGCAACAACTCTCGACAAATGTTTGAGTCTTGACAAATTAAGTTGTACTGTTTTGCAGCTTGACACTATTGAGATACTCACATTGATCCACTCGAACCTTGAGGACAAGGTTCTTTTTGAGGGCGGAGGAATTGTTATGAATCAAAATTACCAAAAGACTAAGGTTGAGGGCACACTTGGGAACTTAGCAAATTATATTTGGGACCCGGGTTAGATGGAGCAGATACCTATATATACAATATGATACATTCTATTAGGCTTATGCTATGAACTTGGTTTATTTTATTTTCCTTAGTTTCTTAGAGATAGATCTGGAACCTCCCTCCCTTCTCCTTTTTTTTATTTCTTCTTCCTATGGAAGATTTGGTTAGTTGTTTTAAGTATTTGTAATTATTTGTAGATGGATTCGTATATTTGTGTATGTGATTTCTGTTATCCATTTCAATATAATATGAGTTCACTACATAAACAGAGTAAGAAACCTGTGCCTACAAGAGTCAATACACAACGTATACAGAAGTAGAACCATCTGTCCTTCTCCTTATCCCCTCACGCGATCAGAAGCCACTAGGAGGAGAAGTCAACATGAAAAACATCAGAGTACTTAAAATGGCAAGAACTTTCAAGCACAAACAGTATAGAGAGAGACAACTCATTTGTATTCCTATTGTAAAATTCAGAGAGATGCAAAGGGAGACCCTTCCCACGCGCTGTCAGGCAGATGTAGAGTTTGGACTATGCGTTCCTCAACCAGTAGCTTTTGTTTACATTCTGTATTTATTTTAAAAAATCATCAAATTTATACAAATTTCTAATTTATAACTCAATAATTCAAAAGAAAAATAAATATTCTCTACCCAGTGCCGGATTTAGGGTAAAACTAATAAAGCATATGCTTTAGGCCCCCAAATTTGGGGGGCCTCATTTTTTATAGTAGGTTAATTGTTTTTGAAAACTAATGAGTATTTTTAAGTAAGAAAAATCATAGCTTAAGAGTACCGTAGATAAAATATTGGACACTCTTTTCTGTTTTCCCTAGCGTTTAGACATTGCGAGGAGATGTTAAAGGAGCAAAAAGATGGAGATATTAAAGGAGCAAAAAGATATGTTGGAATCAAGTTATTTCTTTATTGAATCAAATTCTATTAATATAAATTTAAAGTGTATTATTTTTGCATATTTGTTATTTCTATCATTTTTGCTTCATCGTTATATATGGTCTTTTTAATTATTTATTTAAATTTAAATCTATCAACTAGAAAATATGTGTAGACAATAAATTGTGTCGAGAAAATAAAATCAAGACCGAAAAATATTGCAACAATCGTAGTATTTGATTTCAAGTAATATTAGTGTACAATCTCTATGATTCCTCTGATTCTACTTTTCCAGTAGTAAATAAATTTAAGGGCCTTTGAGCGTGATCTTGAATATGTAGTTGTCGCCACGAATGATGATCTTGTTCTTGAGCTTTAGCTTGATTGCTTGAACGTAACTTGGTTGCTTGAAGCCTGAAATTTGTAAAGAAATTTGCGGCGTTTGATCCACGAGCTCTCTCTTGCTTCTTGTTATAACTTTTGGTGTCTTTTCTGAGTTATGAAGACTCCTATTTATAGTTGTGGAAGGGAGGAGTTGTGATAAGAACAAACTCTTTCCGACCAATCAAATTGAAGTGTGACATGGCCGCATTTGATTGGTCAGAACATGTCACTTGCACATGTGGCGCGAATTCATTAGCCTTTTAACGTGACTTGGCATGCCTTGTCATTTTGACACGTGGCATGGTCCTATTGGCTCTTCCATTTAACGTGGCGTGCCACGTCATTTGACACGTGGCACTGGGCCTCTAGGAAGATGACATCTTGGGCCTAATGAAGTGGGCTCATCACTTGTAGCCTAATTAAATGGGCTAACCCAGTAAATTTGGACTTATTTATTTAATCCATATATATTGGACTTATATAAATAATCCAATTATATTATCCCAATAAATTTATTTCGACTAAGCCCAAATGACCTCCAAAATGAACCCAGCAACACACCACAGCAACATAGCACCCAAACTGATCCCAAATCAACCACTAAAATCGAAATTAACCTAGGAAACTGAATGGAACAGTACTTTTTTGCATTTTTTGTAGCTTCTGTATATTTTTTTTTTTGAGATTTTAGGATGGGAGAGAGACTTCAAAATTTCAGATCTGGGGGAGGGGGGGGGGGGTAATTGGTGAGGGTTCAAAACGTTCTAGGAAAATTATAGGGGATTT